ATCGAATGAGCCGAAAGACTTGACGATCAAGTCGTTGAGCTTCTGGGAAGGAGCAGCTATAAACATTAAAATAAGAACGGATTATTACGTAAGAATAGTTTGTTTTGGATGAAGGAGAAGGTTGTAGAAAAAATTGCGTGATGAGCTGACGATTTCAAAGCACGGATGGGTGTGGGACGGAACGTACCCTGGCGAGTAGCAGCTGGGGCCAAGGACTTCCAGTAGAAAGTGTGGTTGTAGGTCTGGGCAGCGCTGTTGTAGATACCGGCTGGGACGTTGGTTGGGCCCTGTGTTAAAGGAGACACGCAAGCAGGGTTAAATCGCGGGTGAATTCGAAGAAGGTATCGCTTACCTTGGCAGTGATCTCCTCGATGGAGAGAGACTTCAAGTCAGAGGAGGCGATCAGGGAGTTGAGCTAGATCGTATTTGAATGTTGAGTAAACTGCTTTGCTATCAAACACAAATCAAATAAGACTAACTCTGGTGACGTATCCAGCGTGGTGCTTTCCGTAGTGGAAGTCCAAGGTCTCGGCAGAGATGTGTGGAGCAAGGGCGTCCTGGGCGTATGGAAGGGCTTCAAGAGTGTAGGTCATTTTGGATGAGTTTTCGTGAGCTGCGTTTTTCACTGCCTGTGCTGATTTCGAAAGCATTTTGGACGAGATATTACTTTTGATTATGGAGACAAACAAAGAAGAGAAATCAAATGAATCAACGAAAGGATGAACATATCTGTTTGCACATGGGGATACGTAGTGACTATACGCTTCCACAACACCAAATGCCGCCACATTGCTGAACTCGCATCTTTGCCAAGATCTTGCGTGTTTTTACACTCTATTTTCGGCATCAAGGTGACTATTGGTTCCGTCTTCACTTTGGGTGTGGCGTTCGGTTCTGATTCGTTTCTGTCTTCCGAAAACACAGTCATTACCGCGAACGTCAGAAAAAGTAACTGCGTATAAAAAATTGACCAAAAAGGTTAATGTGGTCGCGTATTATAATCCTCGCTGCATAAGTCAATCAATATTCATTTAATTACTATTATTTTGACTTTAGTCTTCCCCGGAGTATCTGCTCTTGTGGCTTAGTTGGTCAAAGCGTCGGTCTCATAATCCGAAGGTCACCAGTTCGACTCTGGTCAAGAGCATTTTGCCAAAATTTCCAATTTTATTTGCACGTTTTTATCATTCTCCAACTGACAGGAACTTCTTGAAATGAAATACACCGACTGTTCGCTTGGATAAGCGGTTCCCCAAAACAGTTGTTCAGTATCAACACAGAAGTTGGCCCAATTTGTGGAAAGTGAAATCAATATTTAAGTATCAACGCCGACGGTCGTCCCTCCGGTCGCCATCTCGATGCCTCTCATCTCGTCTTCCATCGCGGTCATCCCTCCGGTAATCACGATCACGATCATCCCTTCGCCCGCTTTCAACTCTGTCATCCCTTTTCGAACCATCTCGCTTGCCATCTCTTCTGTCATCTCTTGTTTCCCCTCTTCTATCATCATGTCGATATTCCCGTCTATCATCTCGACGTCTCTCATCCACCCGTCCACTTCCTGCATCTCGATCTCTGTCTCTTCGATCGTCACCACCCTTCTCGTCCCTACGAACCCGCTTCTTTTCACGGTCTAAATCCCCATCATGCTCAAACACCATTTCTTCACCTCGTCGTCCACCACCGTCCCGTCCAACATCCTCATTGCGATACTGACGACGTCGACGTAACCCAGCCCCTCCAAACTCTTCCTCTTCCACAAGTCCTCTCCGTTTCCCCATCAATACATCTGCATGCAGTTTACTGACACTCTGTGAAAAGTCAACGTGGATTCGTCGATCGTCAATCAACACATTGTCCATCTTGAAGTACGCTTCTTCGGCTGATTCCTTCTTTTCAAAGTCAATGAACGCATAGCACAGCGAGTCTTGCGTCTTTTTATCACGAATGATTTCGCAGCTAATTTGGTTTTGTTAGAACTTAAAACAGAGGCGAGAATGATGGAGACGAGAGAGAGGTTGTATACCTGCGAATCTCACCAAACCGGGAGAAAATAAGCTCCAAATCTTCATCTCGCGTGATTGGATTCAGTTTACACACAAACAGGATATTTTCAGGAGGTCGGATTTCCGCGAATGGCAAGTCTCCGATCATTTCTAGTGTCAATGCGCGGGCAGCTGCTTCCCGATCTCTTGCCTCTTTTTCCAGGACTTCAGGGTCCACGTCTGGGAACAAGTTTTCGTCTTCTGCAATTCGTGCGCTCGCAAGTAGTTGTGGCGGTGGAGACGGGGAACGAGATGGATAGCGGAGACCGGGTGGATCAGGGAACGGATCATCGAGGATTATAGTGTGTTTGATTCGAATATCACGGAAAGGGCGGTTGTCATCGTCCACGAGTTGGGCATTCAAAGCGTCAAGGACTTCAAGACCTTCGACTACTCGTCCAAATGGAGCGTGTTGCGTGTTTAAATACTCGGCGCCGCTTTCCGAGAGCGTAAAAAAGAATTGGGAAGTTGCAAGGAGTTTTTCCTGTTTATCGCTGTGTTAGAATATTGGAGATGACGCAAAGCTTGGAGCGCGCTATCTGCTCTTCTATGATGTTGATGCGAGTTCCTTGCAATACATTTCTAACGATCCGGCTCAAAGAACTTGGTTGTCTTTGCAGCATGAATATCGTTCCACGCTATGCGATTCTTGCTCGTTCCTCGCTATCCTGTCCTCGCTCATTCCTCGCACCACTCTTCAATCTCGCTTGACACTTGTTGTCTCTCTCTCTCTCTCCACCACCATACCTCCTCTCCAACACGTCCTTGAGCACAAACAAAGGAAACAACGCCTTTAGAGTCATGTTTCAGTTTCGTAGAACGCTCTGGTTCAAAAAACTTGTTTGTCTTTACAGTAGGATCAGATGAATCCGAGGAATCCAAAAGACCCCAAACGGAGGAGCCAGAGTCACGGTCACCAGTGCAGTCACCACCGACAGTGGCAGTAAAGTTTTTGATGAGAGTGTGAAAGAGCGAATAGTTGTAGGCCTTGCGTTTGCACAGTTTGAGAAAGTTGAGCGATGCCTTTGGAGCTCGTTTTGTGTCGAGGTCAATGACAATATCGCCGAGGGATGTCTACTTGGGCATGTGAGTGAATCAGATGCTGGGAAAGACGGAGAGACTGCGGATGGACCCAACCCACCTCAAGTAAAACAGACATTTCTTTGTTCCTTTTCGTTTCTTTCTTCTGTTCTGAAAAGCAAAGGATTTCTTTTCAGTGTCAGTAATGTTTTATTTAAGCTTTTCAATGTTTTTAATAAAGATAACAAGTCGATTGGATGATTTGGAATGTGGTAGAAGGGAGTGGAACGGGGCAAACATCGGACCAACACGGGATCAACCCAACTCCTTACTCCCACCCTACTCCAACTACCACCTTAGAAAGACTTGCTGTTTGCCTGGCACTGCTTAAGCATGTCCAGGTAGAACTGGCAGGCGCCAATGTCGTTGCTGCTCTTCTCCAGACAGGCAGTGAAGGCACGCGAATCGGCCTCGCACGGGTTCGCAAACTGGGACGGAGCAGCAACCGACTGTGGTGCAGCCGCCGCCTGTGGAGCCGGAGCCGGGGCAGAGGAACCACCACCACCAAACATCGAAGTCAGACCCGCGCCGAGTGTGTGTCCAACGGCGGATCCAACGGCGACTCCCGCGGCAGTCGAGGCCATGTTGGCAAAGAGCGATGGCTGCTGTGGCGCGGGTGCCATCGATGTTGGTGGTGCTGCGTGCGCAACGGGTGGCTGTGGTGGTGGTGGCGCGTGTGCTGGTGCTGCAGCCGTTGTTGATGCTGGGCGGCTTGATGTCGTCGTTGATGCTGGCTTGCGGGTGGCGGTGGAGGTCGAACGCGTTTGACGGGCCATACTGTTGCTGTTTTCGTTGATGTTTTCGTTTTGCTTTGTTGGAAACCCTTCTCGCACACTTCTCATTTCAAAACCACGTGGTGGGGAAACCTGACAAACTTGAAACACACTTTCCACCTTCTGGAAGATTCCTTCGCTACGTGGCTTTCTATACATGCATCAATCTTCGTTACACGGCTAATAAAAGAAAGTTGTATAAATGAACAGAATCAAGCTCTTGGATGGACAAGAACAACAAATTGGCCGCCACTCATTTGCAGTAAGTGGCATAAGCGAAAAAAAGGTGGGTCAATAAAGGGGAATTCAGGAAGAACACACCTCTCACACCAACAGAATCATTGTCATAATTATGAGAAAAAAGTGCAAAAGGGCCTCACTGGGAATTGAACCCAGGACCTCTCGCACCCAAAGCGAGAATCATACTACTAGACCATAAGGCCCCTTGAAAACCTTCCAAATTGTAGTGTCCTCGAATGACAAAGTGGGAGGAAATATAGTTTCGTATATCCTTCTTCAAACGAAATTGATTCTGAGCTTTCCATTGTTACGCTTTGAATTCCGTACAAGAGTTTTATTTACAATAATGATGACATTTGAGATACCGATTTTTTCAAAGAACGCATCTCCTTCGCTTAGTGACAGGCTCATTCGATATTGCCTCATCTAACTCGAGCATTCTTGCCATTTTGATGGTGCTGGGTGATGAAACAACCAGAGGTTGCTTGTTGTGGTGAGTGTAGGAGTAGCAACCAGCGTGGTTCGTTTGACTGCAAATGTACGAGTAGCATGTTGATGTGATGCGGATGCCGGGCATTTCGACTGGATTGCTTTTGTCTGTTCGTTGTTTTTGTTTTTTTGTGGTTGGAGGTTTTGGATGGTGCAATCGATGATGACATTCAGACAACCTGAACAAAGCATAATTTTCCTCTATCTTCTCTTTCCATTTGTTTGTTTTTTATCAGACTTCATTCTATAGCCATGGTTTCTATTGCAGAAATCAAACACGAGGACACACTGGCTATCCTTTAGAGATGTTGCTGCAATGTGTTAGTTTCTTGAACAGTTCCAATATATTCACCTTTTCGAAACTGGAGAGAGAGGCCGTTTAGTCTAGTGGTCATGACGTCTCCTTTACACGGAGAAGGTCGCGGGTTCGAGCCCCGCAATAGCCTCTTTTAACTACATATCAATATACTTTTGCTAAATTCGGTCCGTTTAGTACCAGAATGGCTATCCTTTTTGTTGCAACAGTGTTGGATTTCAATAAGATATCGTGTTTAATGTCATGTTTGTGTTGAAGTATTAATGAACTTCTGGAGTGTGCACAAAGTTGAAAACAATAAAAGATTTATTGATAAATGAGACGGTTTAGAATACAATGCAACGGCTCCCTTCTCAACTTAACTTGAGTGATTTGTGCCACTGCTTTGAAGATCAAGTGGTGGTCAGCCATACTTCCACGAAAAACTCGCCGCAAAATATGAAAGTCTTTCAAACGTCCGTTCAAAATTTCGTGTCTTGACGCCATCAGATTCAAGATATGATTTTGTATTCTCTCAGCTTGTGTGAGGGGGCGGCGCACTTTATTGTAAAAAACAGATGAATCAACATAACCTCCATCTGCTGCAAGCTTCTCTCCAGGTTTAAGGTGGGGTACAATAGAATGTTGAGCCATTTTGAGGTCAGACCATTGCCCACATGGAACACCACCTGCAACAAACACAATCTTTGACGTAGCAATAGCAACCGCAACTTGGTAACGTAATCCCGCGTGTTTAAAATTGTGAGAGAAGAGTGATGGATCGAAAGGTCGGACCTCGTTAATTGGACAATCAGTACCATCAACATAGCAGCTGGGTCTAAGATTTCTCCAGTTGTCAAAGCGGCTCTCCCAGTCAATCTATTCAAATAATTATATTAGTAAACAAATATGTATAAACTCAACAATACACACCACATCCATTTTGTTAAAGACTCGTACCATTTGCCAAATCTTGTTACGCCAGTTGGATGGAGACGTCTTGAACCGAGATGCAGATGACTGATCAGTGTTGTATTCCTTCAGCCAGTTCAAGCACCAAAGAAAGTGGACTTTGGTGAGTTTGGCGGCTTTCAATACGTCATGGGCAACCAGAATCCATAAGTCAACTGCAGACTCAATGGAAAGACCAAAGACCGACTTGAAAGTGGCACACCAGACTCGGCGGTTCCGTTGGAATGACAAACTTGACAAGTTAATCAGTGGGGCAGCACGGTTAACCATCAAGGGTAGTTGAATGGTCCATTGTTCAGTTTCAGACATTTTGGGAAAGTAATGAGGTAGGGGAAAGGAAAAACAGCCTCTATTTATGTCTTTTCCGGTTCGAAAATTTTTTTGAAAAATTTGTCTGTAATTGGTTTTCGGGACGGGATTGGTTAGATCTCCAGGAGAGATTCAAGAATCCCGAAACGAAGCGGCAAACAAATCCCGAAAGGCGCGGGGAACGAATCCTGAACGGCGCGGGAAGTTTTGCCGTGGTGATCCGATCCGCAAAGCCTTGGATCGGGAAATCGGCTTCGGCACGGCGCATTTTGGATTGCCGCCCGGGATGGTGTCTGGTGCCACTGAACCAATTCACGAACCGGTTCATGAATCTTGAATGAACTTGAACCGGTTCCATGCAAATATTCTTACTAATGCCAATTCCTCAACAACTAGATGAAATATGATAAATTCATTAACACTGCGTAATACTTCGTTTATTGTACCTTCTATTACTTAAATAAAGTGAATCTATCAAAATCGGATTTTATTGAGTATGGAATGAAAAATACCCATCCTTTCAGAATTTAAGCTTTGTGGAAAGTGTTCAGCAATTCATTTACTATTCATTAAACGAATCATATATCTTTTTTGGGGTGAATTGGTTCATTTTGTCATCTTCATTGTTGGCCGAGCTTCACCGATCTCCATTTCGAAACCCGACAAAAAAAAATTTCAGGTTCGAGACGGGATTTGAACGAGCACGTGAATTGAACCAATTAAATCTCCATCAATGAAAGAAAAGGGTATAAAGAGACAGCTTTCCAGGAGGAAAGTTTCAAAAGTATCATTCAAAACAAAAACAATGAAACCTTCTTCTTCTACAACTCCTGCCAGTTCCTCTCGCCGAGCCACTTCCAACTTTGGTGCCACGGAATTTCATGCCGACATTGAGGCTCAGGCTGAACTCGCTTCGTTCTTGCGCACTCTGATCGATGGTGACACAACTCCCAAGGGTACTGATGTGAGGGACGCTTGTCCAGCACTCAGAAAGTACGAGTCCCCCACTTTGAACTCTAAAATTAGACAATTTTGGAAAAAATTGAAACGCGACAAGAGTGAGTATCTTTTTTAATAGCTTTACTTTTACTTACATACCATACTGTTATAGACTGGGATCCAGCTGATGATCAGCAACCCATGGTACTTGGAAATGTTGGATCCTCTGATTCTGAACCTCTGGAGCTTGAATTCTGGCTGCTATCCACTCTGGTGCAGTGCTTTGAGTTCCTTTCTTAAATTGCAATCAGTTTGGAGGCTGTTTGGGAGTGATTACCAATCCTGTTATAAATGCGACAGGATGGATATCAGCCCAGTTGAGACTCTGGACCTTGAATTCTGGCTGCTATCCACTCTGGTGCAGTGCTTTGAGTTCCTTTCAGGATTTGCAATGAATTTGGAGGCTGTTTGGGAGTGATTAGGTCACTATCTATTTAAGGGGCTGCAGTACTGAATGCTCTCCGTGTTTTTCAAGTCTGTCTGCTCTTGTTTGTGACTTCAGCATAAGAAGAGTTCCGTATCTCCAACAGCATCATCGGGCTTCAGACAACAAGCATTGAACGCTGTTTCCACTTCTGGCAAAAGTAGATCTCCTCTGTTGTGCTTCAACAGCCTTACATACGATTCGAGGATTTCTGATTGTTTGTGTTGCTTAACATTGATTGTTTTATTTGATGCTGTCCTAGTCCCCATATAGATAAGAAGAAGAAAAAAGGGGAAATGGAAAATGAAATTCAAATTATATGACTCATGATGAATGGGGGGAGTCTTCGACTCCCAGGGAGCTGCTGTGCATTTGGGCCATTTTAACTATTACAAGGTAGGTTGTAATTAAACTTAAAAAAATCGAGCTTTCAAAGCTCTACCTAACTATCTTAACATTAGTAATGCGCAGTTCCAGTGTTACAAGAAAATGTCACAAAAAGTATGCAATCAGCGTTCATGATTCAACTGAAAAACTCTTATGACATTTTAGTTGACTGATTTTTATTGAACTGATTGTGTCTTTGGGTTTTGTCTAACATTGTGTATCCCTTCCGTGCTTCCATTTTGCAGTTTTTGCCAAACAGGGGGCACACCAGGAAACTTTAAAACTACAAAAAACAAAGGTCTCGGAGCGTCTCCGGAGCGTTCCGTGCAATGTCTCCCACGTGAAGAACCCTATTGCTCTTTTTTTGGAAGCAATTTTCGCAGACACAAAAGGACCTCTTTCGTTTTTCACCTGTCAAGTGAGTGGCTCACCCTCCTCTGTTGGCCTTAAAAGTAACAAACCCAATCTATGCATAGCCATGATCACAGAACTAGCGCTTGGAGCGGGACTGGGCGCGTCTGTGATAGCACTGACCTCATCGAGTACGTACTTGTTCACTTAGGTTTCAAAGAAGTAACAGTTGAAGCAGAGTCGAGCGCGGCCACGGAAGCCGAAGTACTCGCCTCAGTTGTTCGAGTGATGGAGGCAGCGCCCGGAGTCGCCGCAGTCGCCGCCGTTGTTGCTTCGAGTTCAAACAACAAAGGCACCAACGTCTCTTTGGCCGAGTTCGCAGCGATCCAAGAAACGAGCAGCGTCCCAACAAATCTTCGCCTCGACGCGCGCGACATTCGAACTCTGTTTGCGATTGCCGCGAAAGGCGCTCCGGCCCAAACCGTCTCAGTCGAAGCAATTGCAAATGTGGCCAACAACTTTGCGAAACCCGGGGCCGCGTACAAGGCTGCCACTTCGCTTGCTTCAACCCCGGCGATTGCTGTTGTCTATAAGCCACGCACAATCGACGATCTGATTGGTGGACATGCTTCCCCCGCCTTCAAAGAGTTCTTCAAGTCTTCCTTCAACTTTGCTCTTGCCTCGGTTGCCGGTGCTATCGGTGCTACCTTTGTCTATCCTATTGGTACGCTGGTTGTTCTTGATGAGTGTCCCTTGTTGGTTGAACTAACAATGCACAACAGATTTGGTCAAAACACGTATGCAGAATCAGCGTGCCAAAGTCGTTGGAGAGACGGTGTACAAAAACTCGTGGGATTGTTTTAAGCAAGTCTTGAAGAATGAAGGTTTCGTCGGTCTCTATTCTGGTCTCTTGCCTCAACTTGTTGGTGGTGAGTGTCATTGCGTGCTTAGATACTGGGGATTCCAATTTAAGAACGAAAAGTGATGGAATTTGAACTGTATCGAGCGATACTGAAGTGTGACAGTGCATCAGACTGTATTAGTTAAACGTCCCTCTTTTTGATTCTAACATTCTCCCTTCTTCTAGTCGCCCCCGAAAAAGCCATCAAATTGACAGTAAACGATTTTGTTCGTCGATCTCTCGCAAACAAGGACGGCTCCATCAACCTCGGCCCTGAAATCCTCGCCGGTTGTATGGCCGGTGGTTCCCAAGTCATTTTCACAAACCCTCTCGAAATTGTTAAAATCCGTCTCCAAGTACAAGGAGAAGTCGCGCGGAAAACAGGGGCCCCGAAAAAGGGTGCTGTTCAAATCATTCGTGGACTTGGATTGTTTGGATTGTACAAGGGTGTTGCTGCCTGTCTTTTGCGTGACGTTCCATTCTCTGGTATCTATTTCCCTGTCTATGCGCACTTGAAGAAGGATGTGTTCCATGAAGGAAAGGATGGAAAGAAGCTTGCGATTGGAGAGTTGTTGGTATCGGGTGCCATTGCGGGTATCCCTGCCGCTTACCTCGTCACTCCTGCCGATGTTATCAAGACTAGACTTCAAGTGGCGGCGCGATCAGGAGAGACTACTTACAACGGACTTTTCGATGCGGCGCGAAAGATTATGGCTGAGGAAGGTCCAAAAGCCTTCTTTAAGGGAGGTGTTGCGCGTGTATTGAGATCCTCACCGCAATTTGGTGTTACTTTGGCCAGTTACGAAGT